CTTAAACTCTAGTCCCTAAACCTTAAACCCCAAACCCTAAACCGTGTGGCCTCAGTAGTCAGAACCATCTGAGCCAAACAGTGATGGCATTGAGGAGCCGGAGGAGGATGATTTGTCCACCTGTGATGATTGAGTTCAATAGGGTTTGGGCTTTAGCACTTGGGTTTACGGTTTAAGGCTTGAGTTTAGGGGTTAGGGTTTAAGCTTAGAGTGCTACTGAAAGTCACGCGACAATAGTTAATGCTGACCCAAAACCTGGAACTGTAGCTCAACTCCTATCGATTTGGGGATTTGGACTGGGAGATTGAGGTCCGAACTCAGGGTAGGTAGGAGTTTCGGGTGTGTATAAGGTGGGAGAGCTCCATGAAAACACCTAAACCCTAATCTCCTAAACCCTAAATCCAACTGGGTCAGGTTCAGCAAGTAGAACGCAAAACTGGGTTCGTCAAGAGCAGCCAGAAAATGATGAAGCTCAAACCCTTAACCCTAAGCTGCAGTGAATTGCTGCGGGAGTGCTTCTGCCGTCTGGTAAACAACGAAAACCTCATCCGGAAACGTCGCCACCATCCTTACTTGCTGGAAGCCTCTTTTTGGGCTTAGTTCAGGCTTTGGGGTTAAGGGTTTACGGCTCCTACCGTGCTCAAGCAAGAGTCCCTACAAATCTTGTAGTATGCTATCAACATGGGACATAAACAGAAGGGTGATAGAGCTCCTCCCACGCTCAAACCCCGTCCATCTATTCATCTACTTACAGCCTGTATGATATAGAAATATATGTGAATATATATATATATATACACACACGCCCTGTGTAAGGTGTATGCGCAGGTATATATACATATGTATCTGTGCTTGTATTGAATCTTTTGCCCAAGAACATGGCCTTCACCTTCCTCCCATCATCCGAGAAACACTTGGTGAAGCGACTGCCCCACAGCGTGCTATCTTTATCCTCCTACACAGCCACAAAAAATCCTTCAACAACCCGGCAACAAGCTCAAATAAAGTTCTCTCCGTAGCTTGTTTTTTGATTTCTCAGTTACAATTTGTGTTCTGTACCATTTGAACTGTAAGCCTGGTATTCAAAATCCACTAGCTAGTTGCCGACCTACACAGCTCCAGTGATAACTCCTTCTCAAAAAACGTATCTACGTGGCTAGACACTGGAATCCTGACGCCTGACATCATCTCCTGCACACTCCCCAAAAATGGCAATCCCTGAACGCCAAGCACCAAACCACTAGACCTCAGATCCTAAACATTATAAGCCTTAAGTTTCTGGCTGGAGTCAGAGGGAATGGAAAATCGATCCCTGTAGTCCGCATGTAATCCCCGCCCAAAAAGGATATGTAATATAGTAGTTCCAGTTTGTTTGCAGTCCTCCAGTCCCTTTTAGCAACCCGCCAGCACATGAAGTACCACAAGCTGTTCACTATTAGGTGGGAATCGTCTCATCATGGGAAAGCTCCTCGGTTCCGTCGTAGCACCGCACATCCGTCCGCATCCCGGCAGGAGGCTTGGGTAGCCGATGTGAGACCTTCTCCTGGATTTAAGGATTTAGGGTTGAGGCTTTAGTGTTTGTGATTTGATAAGGGGTTCAGCCTGAACTGTTTGACGGATTTACATTTAGCATGTTTCCAAAATGGGGAACGACGGGGCCTGCTCTACCTCCAATGGTTCAGCTCCCCCACCAGCCACCAACCCTCCACTGACAAAAAGAAGCCCGCGATGAGATTTTCCTGACTAGTGTGTTGGCACAGTCTTGGCGCAGGGTGGGCGATTCCCGTCAAGAGCGTCCTCTGTGCACTTTCGGCAGGCATTCCTGCGAGCGTGCCCTCACAATGGAAGTCGTCGTTGCTGTAGGTGTCTTGTCGGCTCAAACTCGCACTCCCGGCTTGAAATCGGATGCTGGTGTGGCGCGTTTTCACATTTTTGCTCGAGTGCTCTTGAGCTCATGGGAATGCTGTTATAGTGTTAGAGCCTCCACTTGTAAGAAAGATTCTAGACTTCGCGTCGCCAAAAAACCCAAACACAATTTGATGCAAAATCCCACAGAATCTCCATTGGGTACTTCTGATAATTTAAAACCAAGCAAAACACAAATAAAACACAACACGCACATAGAAAACCTGAGCGGGGCCAGGACATCTCAGCAGGATTAGCGAATTCGCGTCTCTCTGTTTTTTGAAGGTGTTGGGGGCCCCAAGAGGTCCGTGACAGCCCTTTGTCCGAAAATGTGGTCGTTTCCTGGGGGAAACACAAAAAACAAAAGAACATAAAAAACTTCAAATACTCACAAAAGCTTAACAAAAACACTCAAAACACGTGAGCTTAGTTTGTAACTCCTACTTGTTTTTTGTGTGTGTCCAAGGTTTGCTGGGCTGGGTTCCATTTGTGCTTATTTTGGGTTTCTAAGGGTCTCTTCATGCTTCTTGAAACAGCAGCAGCAGCAGCAGTAGCAGCAGTAGCAGCAGCAGCAGCAGGACCACCACCGTCACCACCACCACCACCACCACCACCACCAACAACAACAACAACAACAACAACAACAACAACACTAAAATTGAGACTAAGACTAACACTAACAATAACAATAACAAGA